AACGTTAGAAACGAAGAACGTCTTATCGATGTATTATACAATCTGTGCAAAGAGTAACAGAAAAGAAGAATCGAAAACATAATTTTTTGTAACGATCGTATCGTTACTACTCGATTAAATCTTTTAAAATTAAAAATATAAAAATAAAATTAAATCGAAAGGAACGTCTATATCTATATCTGTGATCTTAAAATATAGACATTATTCTCTTCGTGAATGGATTCTTGTCTCGAGTCAAATAGACACTGCTTATCTGATCGATTATAAATTTTAATCTCTGTACAATTTTATATAAAGTTTCCTCAATTTCCAGAAAGATCTAAACAGCATTAAATGATTTAGAAATCCTTGTATAATCGATTCTTGTAAATCACCGGTTTAAAATAGCACGAGTCAACAAAAGCGATCATCCTTTGATTCGATCATTCGATTAAACATCGATCGAATTTATGTAATTGTGACGATTGATCTCGTTCAACACGCGTGCCACACACGTGAACTCGTGATTTCTAGATCACGATAAGTGTATCAGATACAATTGACCTATTTCTTCGGAAACATTTGAACAATCTGCATCGCGTCGTAACACGTACACATTCCGTTTCGCAGCACAACAACTTTCTTTTATAATATTTTTATTCCTCTTATCGATAGATAAGCACATACATACATAAGCACATTGCTATTTAATTTTATTTCGATTTAAACATTTGATTCGAAGATTTTTACCTTTTTTTTACTTATCGGATATAATTGACCTATTTCCTCGGAACAACTGAACAATCTCGTTGTAATACGCACACATTTCATTTCACAGTACAACAACTTTCTTTCTATAATATTTTTATTCCTCTTATCGATAGATACACATTAGCATCACAAGTACATTGATATTTAATTTTATTTCGATTCGAACATTTTTTCTTTTTATCTTTTGTGTAGGGATTTGTACTTTGGAAAATTCATAGAATTTTTAAAATTCAATCCTCTTGTTCGGCTCGATCATCGTGATTATAATTGAAAATAATGGAAAATTTAATTAAATCTAGCTTATGTGAATATAAATAATATTAATCATAAGTTTACGTTACGTTTTATTAGTTTACAATCCCATCGATAGTTTCAAATTTCAAAGAATAGTATGTGAAAATGCAGATCGATCGATCATAGAGTAATTTCGATTCGGTCTATTATTTATAACTTTGATGTAAATCGAATGGCAATCGATCAATCGCCACTGTACTTTATTATTGTTCGAGTATTTTTCCGTTTTGTCGGGTAATCTATTCGACTAATGTCCCCATTTATCCTAACCTAAATGCAAGCCTTCTTTATTTTTCTTCGCTGATTTATCCAATTTATTCTGTGATCGATTTCGTCATTTTGTTGAATGAAAACAAGGATTTTTTTTATAAGGGAATTTTTATTAAGGAAATGTTGATTGGATATATATTCAATATTTTAATTGCCCTTTCCTGCATCAATTATCCTTCTCAAAGTTTTTGCTAAAAACTTCCATGTTTAATTTGTCAATAAGATATATTTGCCGGTGAAGTGAAAGGGATATAGATAAGATGAAGACTCGAAGGAAATGACACGACGATTCGCCTTGAAAAGTTGAATAATAATATCAAAACGATTCGTGAATCGCAAATAAGCTCTTGTAATAAGATATCTTGAGATATTTTGATTGATTAATCACGATGATTAGTCAAATCAGATTAATATTGAACATCTTAATATTTGTTATTTAAAAATTATTCGTTAAAATTCAACGTATGCTTTGTCATTCAATATTCGATTCGGTTAATTTTTCTTATGAATAGATACAACTCGTCCAACACTGGAATACCTTTTAAGTCAAGAAAGGAAGATCTGTTTGATCGGTAAACAAACAAGTCACGCATCGATATGCTTGATATATTTTCTCTTCATTATTTCTATACTTCTTTTTACAATTATGCAAATGATGTTAGACGTTTCGCGTCGTAGCAAAACATTGTGCTAATCCGTGAATTTGAATTACTAATCCATGATGCATTACCTTCTTTCATCGCAAGAAATTTCGATTCGCTCGTCATTCGAAAATTTTGTTTGTATTATATACGTCATTTGCGATTGATAAGCACGCAATCAGTGAAAAATATGTGGAACATCGAGTAAATTTCACCGGATAAATAGTAAAAAGTCACTGAATTCAACGTCGATTACTTTCTACAATCTTCTTTTATTTTTATATTTCATTCTCCATAATTACGAAGCGTTCGTGGAAAATGATGATCTCCATTTGGATAAACGGTGATTTCTCCTGACTTTATTAATTGGCAAATCTTCCGATCCGAAGATGTTTATCTGCAACATTAAAAGTGACAATGAACCGTTAGTGGAGGTTAATATAAAAAATAAATTAATATAAAAAATTATAAAAAGTAAATTTCTCGTAAAAAAAAAAGCCAGAATGCAATAGAAAGTTTGATATTTTTCTAACTTTGTAATAGAAATTTCGATAATATAAATTTGATTGAAAAATACGTAATCTATATCTATAATCTGCTAAATATTATCAATATCGTTGATAAGAATGCATCGATAATCCATTAACTGTAAAGATCTGTGACAAAGAAAACGTCGATTATTGGAATGTCAAGAAAATTCATCGTGTGCATAACGAGAAAAATTTTCAATAGAAAAGATCGCGTTAAAAAAAATCGCATCGTATCCCAGTGAAATGTATAATCTATCGATCCGAATCATCTGAGTTGACTCCTTCGAAGATTTGTGATAAACATGGATAGATTTATCTATCTTTCTTTTAATGTTTTGTAAAGTTTTGAAACGATGGTACTCCCAGCAAAATAAGCGAAATTAAATAAAACAAGACACAAGAGACGTAAGAAGCACATGACTTGAGTTTGATACGAGTAAACTCGTGACAGCAGGCCCGATAAACCACTGAGAATAATTTAATCGACCGCAACAACCGGCAAACGTGTTCAGTCCTTCGCCAACATGTCCAGGAACAGGAATTACCAGACATTTACGAACGAATGCGCGCCGTCCAGCGAGTAAGTACTTTACGAGAACATTCTCGATACACATTTCAAAAGGCAAAAAAAAAAAAAAAAAAAAAAAAAAAAAAAACAGGATAAATTTCGACGGTGGATAAATATGAGATCAACCTTGTATTTAGTCGGCCATGATCTAATCGGCCATTTTCCGCGCCTACCAGGTGAGTTGATCGATAACGCGTTGTAAAGTTCAGGGGCTCGTTTAATTACATATGTTCTACTATCTTTCTCGAAAATAACCAGTGGAAAAATTTGTAATGATCGATGGGTATCTTTGTAATTAACATTTGCCGGAATAAACGCTATATTTATTTTAAATATGTTGAATTAATCGAGTTTGATGAAATTTTAATAACCATAATTAGATATGTTGGTTTAATTTGAACTAAAAACACGAATTTGTAAAACATATATTAATAAAAATATTTTTCGTTTATATTGCGATTTATGTAATAATAATTTCGTAAACGAATTATCAAATTTCATCAATGCAATCGATTTTATCGGACATTTTGATATTTTGATTAATTTATAATAATGGAATTGTGATTTGAAGGAATGAATTTAAAAGATATCGAGAAAAAGATGTTGAATTTTGAATTGTTAATGTGTAGTTTGAATATTCGTTATACGCATAATTATTTGTAAAGAAAAAATTAGAAGTATTAATAATATGATTATTTGTCTGTTTATGAAAACGTCATACTTAGCGATTAGAATATTTGCATAATACGGATTATTCATTGAGGTTATCTTTCTATGTCTGATTTTATTATTTATTTTATAGTGTAGTGTATATACGAATCGTCATCATATACAAATAAGAAAAAAAAAAAAAATAAAACGAATATAATGATAAATATGTATTATAGGAAAAAAATTTGAAATACATTAAAATTTTATTCAAAAATATTTTTTATTTTGTTCATCCTATCTTTTATCATTAAAATTGTTCTTATTTTTGCAATTTTTTAATGATTCTGCCTCAAAATTTAAACTTTGTTTTTTAAAACTTGATAGTTAAATATTGTTTCTCGACCTTCTATTAAAAAAATTTTATCTCACGATAAGAGCAATTTTATAAAAACGTGACAAAATAGAATTTTTGCTTATTCGTTATATCATTTCGCACATTTAGTTATATATAAAAAGACATCAATATTGGAATTCACGAATAACAATCGTGACAGATTCAGTCACGAGTTGTATAACCATCTAGCGATATGCTCCTATTTTTTTCAGATAAACAAATGATCAAATCCTCGTGATTATTCTTATCGATTCGAATGTGATTGTGCTTTACATGTACTCCTAATTTAGAAAAAAATTGAGATTTATACTTATAACTTTTCCTATACGAAATTTAACATATCTTTTTTTTTCTTATTTCATATACATGTACGTTGTCAATCCTTTTTATACTCAGTCAATATTAACATGTTGCTTTTAGCAAATTGAAATTTCACGTTTAATTTCCATATTGTTATTAAGTAAAATTTGTAATTATAATTAAAATACTGATAGAATTCTTTCAAGTATTCAACAATTTTTCCTGAAGTATATTTTTTTTTTAATTATATTTTCTTTTCGATGCACATATTCCTAAATATTTTAGAATATTTTTTCCTATATTTCTTCTCTAGTAGTAAATTTAATTCAGTTAATTTTACTCTTATTTAATAGGTTGTAATTGATCCATATATAAAATTATTTTTTTTTTTAATGACTTTTTTTCATTACGAAATAAATTGGATTGAATTTCACTTTTTCGAGGCTTTTTCGTGAGTGCGCAGAAGCTATTTGAAGAACGCATGCGCGAGCGGACAAAATTCGCGCGTCTTTCTACTGCGCAAGTCAGAAGGGATTCGACCAATCGAAACGTCGATTACTTTTGCTTATATAAAGCTTTACCGGCGATTATCGTGAGTACATTTGCTTCGCGCGCGTCGTCCAAAGAGTAAACGTACATAGAATTAACTTATTTTTCATTGCTTCAGTCTTTATACACAAAAATTTTATTTTTCTTATTTGTATTCGTTGTGACTATCTTTCTTCATCTAATCCTAATTTTCGTCAAAGAATTTTCCTAAAAAAAATTCATGATAAAAAGAGAATAAGAAAACAAGGAAACAATTAAAACGTTCAGTGTATATGTATTGTCCATGGAAAAAAATACAAATGGGATTCTACAAAATAGGGTATATAATTGGAATTTCAAGAATTTCTTGAGAGAACGAAAGCTATTCCCAAAAACACTACGTGATCTTGTGAGACTTCGTTAGGGGTAACGAATACAAGTGATCTTGAGAAAGAAAGAAAGAAAGACGGAGATCAAAAAGAAAAACAAAGACGACAAGAAAACAAAAAGAGGAAGGAAGAAAAGAAAAAGGAAAAAGGCGATGATGTGCAAATTTTTTCTCATAATAAATATATAATTGTGATTAAAATAGAAACTGTGATATAACATTATAAATATTTTATTTTATTTTAATACTGTCTCGTTTTGGAAAAACGGCAGCAAAAGATTCATAAAACGAACACTATGGCACTAACACTAAAGTAAGTATATTTATATTATACATACTTTACATATATGTACTGTACTGTGCCATATTTGTTTTCTATTTCTTATTGTACTTCCTTTTCTCCTGATATTATGATCACGAAGTATCATATAAAAGATGAACACTTTATTTTGATAAGAAATAATCATTATTTTCGAATAATTGTTTTTTTTCATTTACTGTATTTTAATTATAATATATAATTTTAATTATAATATATAATAATTATAATAATTTTTTTTTATTGATTTTTATTGATAAAATCAATTATAAAATCAATTATAAATTAATTATAAATTCGTTTGAATTTAGTCAAAGTTAGTTGTTTCATTGAATCAATCATTTATATAATTCTCACTCTTTTCTTTTTTTTTTATATTGATATAATTTCTGTAATTAACATAAAAATAAAATTATTTATAATCATAACTCATCAACTGTAATTTTTATTACAGATTCTGAAATTAAAATAATAATTTCACTTTTGAAATTGAATTTCATTTTATAATTTTCGCAATATTTTTATATTTTTAACCCGTCAAGACAATTGTTAAAACAATTGATAAATGATGAAATTTCATTTCTTTAATAGCATAATCCACATGAATTAAATTCTCGAATGCATCGTGTAAATATCCATTTTTGGTAGATTAATAATTATCTCTATGAATCACACTCAATAATTTTCTGATTGAATTCAAACAGCAGAATTTTCGTGCTCGACACGCTACGAATAGATAACAATTGAGCCTATTTACCATTGTAACATGATTAACTTATTAATATGCGCTGTCAAGTAATGTCATTAATGAATAACCAGATGACGATTAAAATTCGATACATGTTTCGCATCAAAGAAATAGTCTTTCAACAATATTCCTTTTATTATTGTAATTAAAACATTTTTTTAACAATACGTTTTTTAATTATCAGATCAATGTTTTTAATCTCGTTTGTGTTCGTTTCGTATCATCGGTCGTAAATCTTAATTTACTATATAACGTATCTAAGATAAGATTATAATAAAAACTAGGTAATTTTCGAATATTTTTTGCAAAATTTGTTTATACCTTATGACCGTTCAATCCAGAAAATATTTAACGACACCAATTCAACAGTTTGATCGATAATCTTATTGTATGAATACTTTTAACGTATATTCAAGATTTGAATCTCGATACAAAAAAATAAACGCTATATATTTCTCTCATCATTTTCAAGGATCAAGCACTTAAACAATTTTAAAATATCTTATAATTAAGATAAATAATAAATATAATAATATAAATATAATAATAAGTAATAAATACACATCTTGTTTGTATTTCGATAAATATAAATGAAATGCAAATCAGAGGCAACTGATTAATTGCAGCAAATGTTCAATAAATACTAATAATTCGTGTAATTATTGAAAACTTCAACATTGTGTAACATTGTATTATTAAAAATGCAACCATATTCTATTCATATTAATTATCTTCATTTATAAATACCACTAATCACAATCTTAATTATATTCTAACACAAATACAATTTCCAGTTGTGGTGCGTTACTCCCTTATTGTTTTCCATGGATGAAAACACATGATGCAACTAAACTATTATTACTCATCGATCAGGGACAATTGTTCGATGTGTGCTCGAATGGTGTACACATTGTACACTTGAACCCTTTCGTGTAAAGCATGGACAGAAATAATTTCATCCAAGTGTGCCAAAATTCGCGAGTCTTCGACTAAGTGAACGGCGAGAGAAACGTTTTAAATTTTGATGTTTATCTTTAAAAATTTTATACAAGATATATAAACATGTACTTTATGTGTATTTTATTCATTATTATTATAATTTTTTTTTATGAAAAAAATACATAGATCGGTGGTAAACAAAAATTAAGATCGAATTCGATGATGTGTTTAAACTCTTTTTTTCTTTCTGTAATTTTTATCGTTCTTTTCTTACGCGCGGTTATTTCTGATTCGTTGCAAATCTCAACAATACAGGTTAAGGATGTTGAATCGTAAAAAAGTATTCTTGGTACATTTCTACACACATTATATTTATTACACTGTTTCATAGTCGGTCTTTGCAAAAATAAACATGCAGATTATGCCCGAGTAGATAGCAAACATTCTATCCAACTGTGTTTTATTAATAACAAATCTGCATGTGAAAGCAATCTCATTAGCGATATTTATCATTTCCATGTATTTATCATTTCACTATTCACATTTACTGGAGCCGAGTTTACTATGTTTGATAAATGATGCCTGTTTTCAATAAATATACATATCGTTTCAATAAATGTTTGATGTTGTTTTAAAAAAATTGTGGGACAAAAAAATAATTTACATGCAAAATTTAATACGCAGTAAAATAATTCTCATTTTTTACGTCGTTAAATTAAAAATCAATATAGATATATTTCCAATAGTTTTAGATAATGTCTTCAAGTTATATTTTATCTATAACGATTTCAGTATTATTGTTAAATATTTTTTTTTCGAAAATATTAATTTATTTGCAAAATTGAATAAATATATAGTTAATCTAACGTGTAAAAATATTATAATTTATTTTAATATTTTGCATAAATACAAATTTTTAGCAGAATCCATAAGTTTGCGATAAATAAATATTCTTATCAATGGTTTCATTAATATGAAAGATATTTAACAGCTGCAGTCAGATAAAAAATGCAATTTCGATCGATAACAAAAGGAAAAATTTGCAGAATCTTTGCAGTTTTAAAATTTATATATATACTCGATGTATACTCGACGTATACTCGACGAAGACACTAGCATATTTTATTTTTCTAAACATTCTTCATTATTTTTAAAATTAACTCGTTTATCGAACATCGCGTTCATGTTTATTCGTAATCTATTTCAAACATACTTCCTACAATTATCATCTTTTTTCAATTTTCTAAAAATGTATAAACAAAGAAGATTCATTCCTTCTTAACTGTAGCAGCGCGTGCCGCTTGTAGCGTTACGAACTTCTCTTTGTTAATTCTGTCATTCTTTCGATTTAATGGTCATAATTACATCGACCTACGTCTTAGTTCATGAACCGCAAAAAATTTTAATATCGCTTTTAAATCATTAAACGATCATATTTCATTATCAAATATTCGTTATTTGAAATCATTTTATATTATGTTTGTTTTCTTTTAAACATATTACTTTCATTTTAAATTAATAATAATTAAATAATAACTAATATATATAATAACTATATATTTAAATAATATTAATCTCGAAAGAAATGTATCAAATTATCCTATTTTTATTGTTAAATTACAAAATGTTTGTACAAATAATTAATAAATCGATTTCTATTTGAAAAATGGGATTTTAGGTCAAACTTTATTTTCGTAACACGTAAAATTAGTGCCAAATTTTCAAGTTTTCTCAAGTATTACTATTACACATGTATCTCGTATGTGATAATAAGGATTCATTAATGCAGAAAAAATAAATGTTAAAACAAATATTATTTCTATCTATTTTATTTTAAAAAAAAATGATTTTCAAGTAAATATTTACATGTCGTCTCTCTCATCCCTTATCTGTATCGGATAAAAATAATTATCTCATAGTCTGTAGATAAATAACCAGAGAGGATACAAAACATTGCTTTGTGTTTTCAGTTGTCTTATATCATATAGAATAATGCGTGTGCATGTCACCACATATTTGATTTTTGCGATATAAATAAATTAAAATTTTTTAGTCTATATTACCACGTAAATTTTGCATGATCTCTCATTACATGTAAATCTTTAATAATTTGAATATTGATTAATAAAAGATTAATTATTTTGTTGCAGGAAAGATTTAAATTTAGAAGATGGAAAACCTGTACTGGCAGGACATAGTGCAAACACTAATCCAGAAAATGGTCATTCTGTTCATGGAAGTGCTGTCAGACAGGTTCTGGCAGCGGTAGTGGCACAACTTGGAACTCTGAACACTGGTATGGCTTTTGGTTTTTCTGCCATTGCTGTCCCACAACTACAAGAACCAAATAGTAGCATTCCTATTGGCAAAGGATCATCCGAGGAATCATGGATTGGTAAATTAATATTATTTAAAACGTATAAGACTCTGTCATGATCACGATGATAATAAATTATATTTTCCTTATAGCAAGTATGTCTTCTATTGGAACTCCTATTGGATGTTTAATATCTGGATATATGATGGACGTACTTGGAAGAAAACGATCTCTTATTATCACGGAGATTCCAGCATTGCTTGGATGGATATTAATTGCATGTGCGACCGACATTCGTGTGATATATGCTGGAAGATTCTTTGTAGGACTTGGATCAGGCATGGTGGGTGCTCCAGCGCGTGTTTATACAGGAGAAGTGACTCAACCTCATCTACGGGGAATGTTGACCGCTTTTGCAAGTATTGGAGTCAGCACTGGTGTTATGATCGAATATTTTTTGGGAAGCGTACTTACGTGGAACGTCTGTGCAGCTATTAGTGGAATTTTACCTCTTGCTGCTCTTTTGTTAATGTTTTTCTTCCCTGAAACACCTTCGTATCTTATATCTCGTAGTAGACCTGAAAAGGCACGAGAGGCGTTACAACAAGTTCGTGGTAGTACGTATAATATTAATCAGGAAATGGAAACACTTATTAATTTTTCGAATGAGCGCGATGTTAAGCGTCCGAAAGGATTTCGAGAAATAATTAGAGCTCTTTTAAAACCGAATGCCATTAAACCTTTCACTCTATTGTTTTTATATTTTTTAATATACCAATGGTCAGGTACAAATGTAATAACCTTTTATGCCGTTGAAATTTTTAATGATTCAGGAGCAACAATAAACAAGTACTTAGCTGCAGTAATTCTCGGGATTATAAGATTAGTATCAACTATTGCTGCTTGTATCCTATGTAGAAAGAGTGGACGAAGACCTCTCACAATGATTTCGTCCGTCGGCTGTGGACTTTCTATGGTAGGATTAGGTGGATATATGTGGTTAAAAAGCTATTGGACTGCAAATAATCTTCCATTTGTTGCTACTTGGATACCTGTTTTATGTATATTTTCATATACTATTGCTTGCACTCTTGGTTTCCTTGTTATTCCTTGGATAATGATAGGCGAGGTATATCCAGTGCAAGTACGTGGTATTATTGGTGGTTTAACCACAATGGCAGCCCATTTTTTTATCTTTACAGTAGTTAAAACATATCCATATTTAACTAGTATACTTACTACGCATGGTACTTTTATTTTCTATGGTTGTATATCTTTATTCGGAACGATATATTTTTATTTATGTCTTCCCGAAACTAAAGATAAAACACTTCAAGAAATAGAAGATTACTTTTCCGGTAGGAACAATAATTTAAGAACTAGAAATATAGATAATCATAAACCAAAGGTGTTACAAGTGAAAAAGGGTCAGATTTTGCCTTGAATTATTTATATAAATAATATTTTAATAGACGTAAATTAATAATTTATCGTCTTCCATCAACAAAACAAAGATAAAAAATTACATGGCTAAGTTTTATTATTAATCAAAATTAATTCATATTATTATTAAAGACTTGTTTCTAATTTAATTTAAGAAAAAAAAATGAAACAATAGTATTCTATACTTATTTTAGGATATTGGAGATGATAACGTGATTAAAATTCCAAAAATCTATTAAATTATATAAAAATTACAATTATCACAGATATTTTATTTCTTATTTATAAGTAAGACAATTTTCAATGATATCTATTTATTAATTAAATATTCAAATAATTTAAATATAATATTTTTTTTTTATAAGATGGTAGCAATATAGATATATTTTTATAAAAGAATCAAATATATTTGTAAAGAAAAAAAAAATATACTTTACGGATATTTCAATACGCACATAAGAAAACGAAAAAGGTGCTATTTATTATTATAGTATTACAATATGTATATATATATATGTGATAAAAAGATAAAATGTAATTAACTAGACTTATAAGTGATATTTGTAAAAAAAATCATAGTCTGACAATGTACGCGTTTCAACAATGCAAACTACTCTATAAATTAAACATTTTTAATATATTTACTATGTATCTCAGGATTTTTTAATTTTTCCTTTCTAATCTTAATTGCTACTTTGTTATTATGAAAAAATAAGTTTTTAATTTTTAAATATTTAAATGTTTTTTTAGACTTATATGTATATAATGAAGAAAATTAAAATATAATGAAAAAAATCAAAATATAATTTATTTCTATATATTTATTAATTATTTATTTTTTATATACATGTATATTACTTAATCAAGTAATTTTGATAAACGTATTTTATTACGTTTTTTTCTTATATATTCTTTTTTTTCTTCTATAAATTGCTTGATTATATTTGGAGATAATATTTCACCTCTATATGTTATGGGCAATATTTCTTTATCCAAAATAGCAAGTCTTTCTTCAACATATTTCTTAGGATCAAAGTTTTGTGCCTGTTTAATTTGAGCAACTAATTCTGCTTGAAATAATTTTTCCTTCAATATATTACGATTTGCTCTAATCTTTGCCCATTTAAACTTCATTTTTTTGCGCAGTTTCTTTCTTTTGTGTTTTTTCATTTTTTTCTTTCTAATTACTATCATACGTATAGCTAATTTTTCTAAGATATTTTCTGTTGGTGGAAGCTGGAAAGATATATCTATTAATGGTAAATCCTGTTTAATAGATTGGTTTATTAAAGGTTCTTCCATTGATGGTATATATTTAGATAAAGGCATTTCATCTTTTTTAATATTATTTCTTGAATTTTTAAAATCTATATTAAGCGTTTTTGGTATAAATTTAATATTTGGAGATATTATATTTAAAGTATTTGTAGAAAAATTAGGAAGAGATATTGTATTATTATATTCTTTTAACAAATATGAAGAATAATATCTTACGATAATGTTACCTAAAATAGTAAAAATCAATAAATAATAACGATAATAATATTTTTTATAATATTTAAAAATTATATTAGGTTATGTTTAATATCGAATTAGAAATAATATAATTTACATACTTTTTGTGTTTATAGTTATTTGTCGAAATGCTGCACATAGTTTGTTAATAGCCATTGTAATTATTTTTTACATACATGTACATTTACAATAATGTACTTAAAATAATATGTAAAATACAATATATCAAACTCAAAACATCGATCGAATGAAACTATAACCTATTTAATAGAAAAACATGGCGCCATATAACAATGTATCAATACACGTATAATAAATAATTTTAAATATAAGTAGACTTTAGGTATAAAAAAATTATATATAATATATAATAGAATTGATAAGGCTTATGAGATTTTAAATTTCGTTTATTGAAAATCATTAATTTATTTAAACAATATATATATCTTAATAAGATATTTTATATTGGTGTATAATATAAACATATATGTATAATACTTTAATCCATTCGCGTTTTAAGAGTCTTGACTGTAATTTTATCTTTTTCTCTGTAATTAAAAGTTAATGATTAATATCCTATATTGTATATGTATATGTATATGTATATATATATATATATATATATATATATATATATATATATATATATATATATACACATATGTATATATATACATATAAAGAAAAAATAAAGATCAAACTAACATTACATAAACAATAGCACCCCAACCAGATATTGCATCTCTATCACATGCATTTACTAATGCCTGACTAATTGTTTCAAAAAGATCATCTGGTTCCATATCTGGTTCATAAAGTGATTCACACATTCCATATAGTTGTTCAGTACATGTTCCACCAACCACAAAATCATTTGATGGACTTATACATCCTATTAAATCCATATTACAAATAAATGGTTCATAAGTATTAGGATTTAACCCAGCAATGATAGGTTCTACAAAATAAGGTCCAAATCTTCTTTCATATAATAAATTTGACACCATTGATGCAAATGCTTTAGGATGTATTTTTCTATTTTCTTTAAGTTCATAGAGATTTAATCTAAATCTTAATTTTTCCATTACAGTTTGAGTATCAGTAGCAAGACCAGGAAGGCTAAGATATAAATGGGATCCCATTTCAAATATCTTTTGAAAATCACATGTTATGGTTTGTGCTTGTATACCAAATCTACGATCAGCAGCTATTGCCACACAATTCTTGCCTTTCATTGCTATAATAGCTCCACCATTATAAGCTAAAATACTCTAAAAAAATTGCAAACAATCAAAATTATAAGAATTAATTAATAAAAATATTTTACTTTATCTAATTAAATTTCTTTTAATTAATTCAAAAATTCGTTGATATATAATTAAAAAATTTTCATTAATAATAGTTATATTTTTTTAACATAATTTGTAAAACGTGCAATGTCATTAATGTATTTGACAGTAACATAACCTCTTTTTCACTTTATATTGTTGTTTAAAATATTTGAATTTTACATTTTAAAATTTGAAATATTTGTAGAAATATGACAAAATAATTATTATTTAATATAATAAATATTTACCATTTTTAAAGAGTTTTGAAAAATTTACCAATATCAATTAAATTCTACCGCACTTTAAAGTATATTACAAAACGCAAGTTGTAAGTCATGAAATACATAATGTATAGAAATTCGATTTCTTCTTTTATTATATATTAAATATAAATTCATATAACTGAAGACATTATATTAATATTTTTCTTATAAGTAAAGATAATAAATAACATATAATATTTCTATTTAGATGAATTATTATGATTATTATTTTTAATATAATATAATTTTTTAATATTATATAGTTAAAAAATGAGCACAAAAATTAATAAGATCTTGAATTTTTTATCATTTTGAAGTTTTACTAATCTTTTTGAATCATTTTGCATTCAAATATATTTATATAATATTTTTAATATAGAAAAAAATCAATTTATTTAAATAAAGTAAATACAGTATAGATACTATTAAAATTTATTATTTATGTAAGAATAACATAGTATATTTTGTACTGAGAGTAGAGTTTCTAGATAGCCTATTCCATCATCCCCTCCAAAATCTTAGAAAGTCAAGAGCAAAGGGGAAAAACATGGCTTTGCAATGTTATTGAGAAATTTGAGGCAGTTTCATGATCCGCATTTAATTCGTTATCTATTATAAAAAAAAAGTTTATATTTTTTGTGAATTCGAAGTCTTTTTTTAAATAAACGTTTTATAAAAGTGATAGTTAAAGTGAAAACGAAAGGTGGAAAACGAACAAAAAAAAGAGAAAGAGAGGGAAAGACAGAGAAAGAGAAAAATGTGTTCGATCAAGACGAGTCATTGTAAATGTCATGCATTTTGCAACTGGGAATGATTTACGAATTACTGAAAAGAAGAGTTTTCGTAGAATTTATCTTGATAGGAATTAAAATTGATTGGCAATTGCATTTTGAAGAATACAGATCACTCTTTCTACGAATTTTTGGTTAGTGGTTTCGATGAAAACCATCTGGATACTAGCAGTCAGCTGTAGTTTGTAACACGCGTTTACACGTGCAGCTTATAATTTGTTCAATAATTAAGAAACGTATCATTTAAATTTAATCAAAATAAAATGTAATAAGATGCAATCGCGACAAAAAATGATTGTTTTTGGTTCACATTTTACGATGATTTACGAATGGTTTATATCTTTTCATATAAATGTACAAGCGCTATTTTAAGTGCTGATCAACTCGATCTACTTGCTCTAGAATAGTATTCTAAGAAATAATTTTTTCATTGTGTATGATGTTAGATTGAATAAAAGAAATTTTAAGATGTCCATGAAATAAATATGTATCCGCGATGTATTTTACTTTTATGTTATTTTTAAACCACTGATATACAAAACACTTGGACTTAATCTTATAATTTCAGTCTTTGTCTATAGTTTTAAGATTATTTTTGGAATATATTTTAGGTTCTTGGCTTTAATATTTTTTAATTCCTTAACTTGTATTTGAGATGTAAATTTATCTATTGTATAAATTTTGCATTATATTTTCTATCATTGCAAGATTATAATTGAAGGTATTGTTTTTTTTGTAGGTTTACAGATTTGATAATTATATTATAGAATTTGTATACTTAACTCTTTGGTGTTGTAAGTCTGTAGTATTCTGTTGATCTTATAAAAGAATGTCACTAAAGCCTAAACGTGTTGATTTTACTCAAACATGGGAAGCATTACAAGAAACTGTAAAGTGTGTAATAACATTATCATATGTTCCACGTGCAACATGGTATGATAGGTTCAGGTACTTTATGATATCTTTTGATTATTTTCAATTATTTTCATATTATATAAAATATTGCATATTTTTGCATATATATCTTTTTTTATTTCAGTGATGTGTATTCATTATGTGTGGCATATCCAGAACCACTTGCCGATCAATTATATTGTGAGACAAAAAGATTTCTAGACAATCATGTCTTCCAATTATTAACAAAGGTTCGTGCCCAAGGTGAATCTAGCTTATTGCAGGCATATCATCAAGCCTGGACAGAATATTCACAAGGCATTAATTATTTGCATCGCTTGTACTTATATTTGAATCAACAACATATTAAAAAACAAAAGCTTTCGGAGGCAGAACTGATTTATGGCATGTCTTCCGCTACGGTCGTTGATTGCCAAGAACAAATGGAAATAGGAGAATTAGGTTTAGATATTTGGAAAACAAGAATGATCACACCATTAAGAAAGCAACTTGTGTCTCTACTCTTAGAAAATATTCATGCAGATAGAGTTGGTACATCGCCTACAGCAAGTACAGAAGTTATTTGTGGTGTGATACAGAGTTTTGTTCGAGTTGAAGAATATAAGATGAAAGGACAAGTAGATGTAATGATTTTTGTTATATTATTTCATTTTTTTTAATATGCACATGTTTTGCAAAACTATTTTATATAGTGTATTTTCTTTTAGATGTATCAAGAAATTTTTGAAACACCTTTTCTTGAGGCTAGTGGAGAATTTTATATGAGAGAAGCAGCCGAATTACTTCAAAAATCGGATGTAACGCATTATATGGAACGAGTAACGTGGCGACTCATTCAAGAGGAACTTCGTGCTCATAAGTTTCTTCACACAAGTTCTGTGCCTAAAGTATGCTTTTACTTTAACATACATATATCAAGTTAATTGTATACATATATATATTAAGTTAAAATAGTCGATTGTTTAACAGTGATATATTGTAGGTGAGACAATGTTGTGAAGAAAAAATGATTGCTACGCACGTAGCGTGGCTTCATTCAGAAGGAAAAAATATGATAGATAATGAACGGAAAAGGGACTTAATTCTTCTTTATCCATTGTTAAGGCCGTTACCTTCAGGTTTGGCAGTACTTGTACAAAAATTTACTCAACACATCACTCAACAAGGATTACAAGCAATTGGTTCTTTACAAGGAGAAAATGTAAGATACGTATAGATAATCAAATAATTATATTTTGCGCAATATTACTTTATCATTTATTTAATATGTAATATAGATACACACACAGTTTGTGGAAACTATGCTGGATGTACATCGTAAATATTCGGAATTGATTAAAGATGTGTTCAGAGGTGATCAAGCTTTTGTAACTGCTCTTGATAAAGCTTGTTCAATTGTTGTGAATCATAGGCCTGTTCCACGGCAACCAGCTAGAGCACCTGAACTAGTAAGTATCTTAAATTGTTATATTCTAGTGCAGTTTATTCACTTTTTATTCCATGTCTAATATTTTAATTTAGCTTGCTAAGTACTGCGATTCTCTGCTAAAAAAATCTGCCAAGGCTGCATCAGAGGGAGAAGTAGAAGAAAAACTAGCACAGTGTATTACTGTGTTTAAATATGTTGATGATAAGGATGTTTTTCAGAAATTTTATGCACGAATGTTGGCAAAGAGATTAATACATCAACAATCGCAATCAATGGATGCCGAAGAATCAATGATTGATCGTTTAAAACAAGCTTGTGGTTATGAGTTCACGAATAAATTACATCGGATGTTCACCGATATGTCGGTTTCAGCCGACTTAAATGCCAAGTTTACAACAAGCTTACGAGAAGGGGACAGAGAAAATCAATTAGGCATCGGTTTTGTAGTATATGTGTTACAAGCAGGTGCTTGGCCATTAGGTTTACCACCATCTTCAGGACCATTCGATATTCCTCAACAATTAGAAAAGTCTATACAGGCATTCGAAACTTTTTATCACGCGCAATTTAACGGACGGAAACTTACTTGGTTACATCACCTTTGTCAAGGCGAACTCAAGTTCAATTATTTAAAAAAACCTTATTTGGTAACTGTACAAACATACCAAATGGCATTGTTACTTCTTTTCGAACATTGTGATTCGATACAATGCAGAGAAGCTGCCGCATCATTACGCTTATCACATGATCAATTAGTTAAACACGCAACCAGTTTGGTTGATTGTAAAATTTTAAAAAAATCAACAGATGGAGAATTGGAGGAAGATACAATTTTGTCGCTCAATTTCGATTATTATAATAAAAGAACGAAATTTCGTATAACTGGTACATTACAACGGGATGTGCCGCACGAATGTCATGATGTTGAAACTACTCATCGCAGTGTTGACGATGACCGAAAATTGTACCTGCAAGCAGCTATAGTTCGTATTATGAAGAGTCGTAAGGTTTTGAGACATAATCAACTTGTACAAGAGGTGAGATTTTATTTTAACATAAATACGTGCGAATTAAGTTAAACAATTCAATTGAATGTAATAATATTTTTCCAGGTACTAAGTCAATCTAAGGTTACATTTGCACCATCAATCAGCATGATCAAAAAATGCATCGAAGCTCTTATAGATAAACAATATATTGAACGTACGCCAAATAATGCAGATGAGTATTCGTACGTCGCATGATTTTATCGTACCACCTGACACAATCATTAATTTATTTTATTCAGGGTGCTTTATGATCATTCATGATATCATACTTTTGGTAATATTTTAATAAGATGATTAAATACTCAAAATTTTATTATTGATTAAATACATTTCTTTAATTGGAAAAAATGATACTTTTATCGATAATAATATTTAAATCAAATCTCTCGTTTGAAAGATCAAAGAAAGCATCCTGAATTGCTTTCTTGCTCCTAAATTGACCGATTAATAACTTAGTTGATTCAATGACTTGTAATATATGTGCACGGAATAAAGATGATGTTACTATTTTATGCTGGGACAGTTTCATTAGTTTCCCAAGAGTAAAAATTTAATTTCTGATTTTATTATAATATTATATTATTATAACTACTCGAGATTCATTGAATCCATATGAAGAAACAAATCGATATATTTTTACAAAATCTATATAACAATACTTTAAGTATGTTTGAATTCTAATTTTTATCTCGTTATTTAATAATGATGATAAGTTTTTGGTCCCTTATTTTTTTAAATTATAAAATACCAGTTATAAAACTGGTGATAATGTATATAATACTTTTGATGGCCATATATTGCACGATACATGGTGAGATTCAAGTGACATTGCAAAGAATTGTTTGCATCAGACACTTTGCTCTTTAAAAATATTATATAATATAAGGAATATTATTAATGAGTTACACTACAGCATAGATTTGGGTTGGTACTATTAGGAACGTGGAGTTTTTAGTTGCAACAATTCTGGATCCAGCAAAGGATTATCATCTGCCTCTGATTCTAATGGCTTATTCATACTATTAACCACAAGAGATGATGCAGTAGCTGTGTTACTATATGGTGAAAATCCTGCCCATTCCATGCCAAGATATATGGGTGGTGGGCTACCTAATGGTGGTTCCAATAACAAATGATCTGATTGTTGCTGCTGTTGCTGCTGTTGTACTTCTTGGCATTCAGAAGGTGGCAAATGCGAAGTCAAGTGAGTGGTTACTTTACATTGTTTCTCTTGTTTTCGCCATTTTGCTCTTCTATTTTGAAACCATACCTATAAGAAAGTTATCGAACTTGATAATTATTATCGATCGTATTTTTTGAAACAATAGAATACAGCTATTACCTGTACTCTGGCTTCTGTCAATTGAATACGGAGAGCAAGTTCTTCTCTAAAAAATACATCAGGATAATGTGTTTTTTGAAATGCTCTTTCCAATTCTTCCAATTGAAAGTTCGTGAACGTGGTACGATATCTGCGCTGTTTTCTTTTACCGACTCCAGTTGATTGCCTATCTTCACTTCCCGGACTTGATGAAAAATCATACGCTATAAAAATAAAATATTATATTGATCAATATTATCAAATGTATTTTCATCAACGTACGACGTCACGAATATAGCGCGATTTATTCACTTTAAAACGAAGCACTGTCGCTACAAAACATTATAAATTAATGTGTTGATTCACAATTCACACGCTAATTTCTCACTGCATTTAATCGCGATAAATTTAAAATATGGTATAAAATGATTCATAACTTTTAAACCGATTACCACTAACTCTATTTAAAACAAGGGTTGGCGATTCGCTTAATGCATTTAGCAATAATTTAATTGAGGACTGCCCCAACTTACGAGCCGACAGGTAGAGAGTGGCAGTTAATTAAATCAGGTCTGGGGTGGCAGGGTGCACTTACAGAATTTTGTAGGAAAGCAAACTGAGGAAGATTGAGCGCCTATCAGACCAGCTAGAGCAGTCGACTGTAGATCTCCTGCAGAGTTGATCTCGTCTGGTGCTCCAGCAGAAGCAACGATCGCTCCAGTGGACACTAGAGGATCACGCGGTGCACCCACTAAAAATAGTTGTCTATTATTTTCATTCGCACTTTCGTCTTCTTCCTTTAAATCCATTGCAATATTTGGCTTCCGTCGTTTAATTAATTAAAACACTGAATAAATGAGGCTGATGGTAGACTGAGTGAAGAATAGGCTAATGGTAATTGAATCACTACAGGTTGAAAAGTTCGTGTGGGTACCACAGCGACTCCGCAACTCTGCTATTTCTTTTCTCTTTTCCTCTTTTTTTTTTTCTTACACCTGTACGACGTAGGGTAGGGGATAGAGTATATTCAACATGAACTCTCTCAAGAGGGGTAGTGAAGCCTCAAAAATGTATTGCTTATACACCACGAATCAATAGCATGAGTGTAGAAAAACGGTATATCTAGTTTTTATCATGTACTCATTAACTGTTTTATAAATAATTAATATACGCACGATCATATGTAATAACCGATTATTTCATTTGGTATTAGAAATATCAAATTGTAAAGTGAAATTATATTTGCAGTTAATTAATTTAGAAGAAAAAAAAAAAAGATTTTGAACATACAATAATTCGATAGTTATTTGTTGCATTAAAATTATTTTCAGTTAATATATCGAATAATATATCGAATATGGTTATAATTTTTATTTTACAAAAAAATATTTTACAAAAAAAAAAATGTGATATCAAACAATAAATTTTGTTAGATTTTTTTTTTTTTTTTATTCATCAGTGTAGTGTATTACAATATGTACAAAATTTGCTAGATCTATTCAGACTTAAATAAAGATATATATATCGTGCCTTAAAAGTGCACATCTCATTGTTCAAGCATTACCACAATAACTCTTTGTTAAGCTTATAGAAAACTGAAATTATGCTATTTGTTTTAATCATGGAAATGTGAGAAAATATATTCAGCACAGTGCATATCACAGTAGGTGCATGAAGTAAAATGTTCAATATGAACTTCAAAATTGTTATCATCTTCAGTATTCCATCTCACGTGTATATATTGAAACACATTAGTTGGACCCATGTCATATCAACATAGAATGAAACATTTAGACGTAAAAAAGGCGAACCTTACTGGTAGAGACCAATAAATCATCGTCATAAAATTTTGTCTCTATCACAACATTTCCACTAAATAAAAATAAAAAAGATTAATTAATGATAAATGATTTCAAAATAGAAAAGTATAATAATACATTATATATACTTACTTTAAAACATTAGCAGGCATCATTTGACTTTCTGGAGCAGCTTGGATCAAACTTTGCCATGTATTAGTACTATTAGGTATAACAAATCCAAATTCGAAGAACCATTCTTCCAAACATCTACCTTTAAACAACACTTTTTGTTCTAACCTAAATCTTTCCATCGGTTCTGCAGAACTAAAATTAATTTCTCGTGAAACTGCACGACATTTTAAAATCTTTTTAGGTACTCTTGCTTCATGTTCGATTTCTGGGACAGACCTTTGTATAATAAATTTCAAAGTTAATTCAAAGATTATATCATTGCAGCGTTATTGTATAGGTTATAATATACTTACAAATCTTCGTTACCTTGCCATAATATTTTACCACTGTCAGCGTCTCGTAAATTCATCCAATTTCTGTGATAAGTAATAGTTAAGAAATACAATTATAAATTAATATTATAAGATGAGTAAGATTTTTCATCGTAAACTGACTTTAACCTATAAAATGCCATGATTATATGTAATTTATTTGCAATAGGATTCTAATTTTGTTATTTAAAAAAAGGATACACTTGAAAGCCTTTAAGTATATCTTCGCCTCGAGAAGGCATAATTATTTTCACACGAAATTAATTATTTTTTATCTTGTATATACATAAATGTAAAATCCATTCGAAACTATCGATTCTTTAATTTACTAATTCGTAGGCAGAAAGTAGCCATTGGTCATATCATAGCTAATTTCAGGTATCATTGATAGAATAGATAGACTTATAAAAATTATTTTTAACATTTGTACATTAAATAGCATAAATCATAAATTATAGATAATTAGAATAGATAAGATATAGAACATGAAATATACATACATATATTGCATGTTATATTTCATAACATATTCTAAATTAGGTATTAAGAATTAAGATTAATATATATATTTCATAATTTGCAGATTTTATTTATAGATTTTATCGATCCAAGATTTTGCAAGATAATATAAAAATTAAAGTAATATACGAATAATAATTTTCGTTAATATATAGAGAAATTTTTTTAATATAAAAGAATCAAATTATCTAGCATTTTTATTATTTTCGTCTTTTTGACTTAGAGACATAAAAACGAGATAAAAGTAGAATATAATATATTTAGAAAAATCAAAGAAAATTTATTAACATTTCTTCTAATCAGTATTATCACTTTAAAAAAAGTTGTATCGTATTTTTTATTTTACATCGTTGTATATTATTTTTAAGCAAATTATTATATTGTTTAATAATTTTATAAATATATTTATAATAATAATAAAATAATGATAATCAATTATAAATTATTGTATATTTCCGTAAATTTATTGAATAAATCAAATTATTAAATAAGATATTTAATTCTTTTTTTTTATTATTATATTTTATATTTTGAATAAAAAAAATTTTTGTATTTATATTTTTGCGAAATAGAAAAAAACATAATAAAACGTGATCGAATAAATTTTGTTAAAAATTTTAAGATCAATAAGTTAGACAAGGAGAATAAATAGTGGGACAAAGACAAAGATAGTATAAAAATATTGAAATCAGCGCCATCTTCAGAGTGCCGCAAATGAAACTCGTATATAAAGGACAGAAAATAGAAAGAAAAGGATAAGAAATAGAATAAGAATTAGCTTTCGGCGCCATCTCTCGAGCACGAAGCGAACTATCATAAAATGATTATAAACCCTGGATAAAGTATGGTAAGAATTGAATATCAACGCCATCTTACGAACCATCTTCCTTTAAGAGATATCTTCGATAATCAAGAGATGGCGCTAGTGATCAATTCTTATACTATTTCTATCCTTCTTTCATTATTTTCTGTCCTTTTTACATTAGTTTCATTTGCGGCACTCTGAAGATGGCGCTGATTTCAATATTTTTATTCTATCTCTGTCTTTGTCCCACTATTTATTCTCCTTGTCTAACTTATTGATCTTAAAATTTTTAACAAAGCCTATTCGATCCAAATTTTTCCTTTTAAGTTTTACTCTATTTCGTGAAAATCAACGCATCGTCCCAAGTTTTCACTACGATTCTTTATCTTCTTAATAAGACAGAAGAGAATCTTTTAACAAAAGTTTCTCAAATTTTCTTATAAGAAAAAGCATATATTTCAAAAGTTTAAAAAATCAATTGTTAATAAATAATTCCTTAATCTTAAGAAAACTTTCAATTCTTATAATTCATTCCTGTAGAAAGAATTCTTTTAATAGTTTATCAAGATATTAAAAAATTAACATCTTGTCAACGTTTTTGCCAATTTAAAAATAATTGAAATCCCGATTATCGAGAAATAAACCGAAATATTACGAGGGCAAGTGGTGCAACAAGTTCCGCAACCATTTCTTATCCCCGTATCTGAATGCCATTTGGATTGCGAGGGTATACAAGTTGGCGAAGATAGAAATCCGAGACCGACGCGTCCAGGATGGTTTCGATCTTGGTAGTGTTAATCAAACTGGAAATCGGGAGAACTGTCCCATCGTGGAGATTTTCTAATTCCTCAACCTAGCTTTTCCTTAATTCTCTGCTAATGCTGCCAAGGATAATGCAGAGGGTTTCCTTTCATGTATTTTATTGCTCCACCGAATCTTAGCTGAGAAACGGTTTTCAAATAACTAGCAGATCGAATTAAATTAAATGTAATATTAATAATAATTGTATTATTAAAAAGATCAATGTTGCAATAGCAATAATTTATAATTGTCCTTTCTCTAAGCTAAATTTACCATTATCCGCAATGATAAAAATCATCTTCCAAATAATAAAACCATCTTTTTTTTTTCTCTCTCTAATAACAACGTTAACAACGATTTCTAATTTATATTACAATATATTTAATAGATTTTAGACTTTATGACGGATGTTTCGATCGATCAGAAACTTAACGATACTTGCCTCTGTTCGAAGCAAACGCGTCAAGTAACAACTTTCAACTACCGATCATTGTTACGGTAAGGAGTACAGTTTCATCCTGCGTGTGTGTGTGTGTGTTTTAAAAGTCGATCGACTATCGGTGCACCCCGTTTCGCTCGTAAATGACCACCTTTTGAAGCGGGGAATGAGCAGCGACGTTGGTTTCCGGGCCATCAAGGTTGCATTGACGACAGTCAGCGAATAAAGAGCACGCGTGTTCCATGGAGAACGCGGTAGATTCTTCTCTCTCGTCGTTCGTTTTATATAGCGCTCCTTTTACGAGCGCTGCACTCGATTCTACTAGATTCCTGATCGGGACTTTGGACAATGTGCAGCGAAATTCAAGTTGGAGCAGCCGTGTTCTTCTGCAACTTAAATAAAAAAAAGAAGAAATAAAGGAAGGAAAGAAGGGAATAATAGATGGAATTATCGTTCGATTCTCCGTGAATTTTCGTGATTTTGGATTTTTTGAAAGTTTTTTCAACAGTTCTGCGGTATTCGTCTACGGATGTAAATTAAATTATTCTTCTTTTATTGATAAAGAAAAAAAAAAAAAAAAAGAAAAGAGGAAGAAAAATAATTCGAAACTATCGTTTTCGTGAATAAATTACGAATAATTGGCGAGCTTCTTCAAAAAATTCAAAGGGTTGAAGCGTCAAGTAGTACATTTTTTTATTTCAATCGATCATCTAATTACGTTGCTTCCTTGAATCGTGGATTATTTTCAAGAAGATTATTTTCGATTGTCACGTATATACGACTGTTTCTCCAATCGAAAGTTTAATCACTCGTCCAAGAACGAAGCGAGAGAAGAATTTTCTCCCTCGCACTCGTGCGTTTACAAAAATTAATCAAATTAACCATCTCGCTACTTTGCCCTACCTTTAAAAGAAGAAGGAAATTAATCCTCCTTTTAAATTTTCCTCCGATCGTTATTCCATCGAAAATTCTAATTCCAATGTATATTTCATTTCGAGAGAAAAGGCACAACTTTCGACAACTTATTCTTCCAAAAAAAAATTTACCCCTCCTCGCCGTTCCTCGAGTCACTCGGGTCACGAATTTCCCCCTCCTCCCTCCACTTCCTCTCTTCAAACAAAAAAAGAAAAAAAAAAAAATAAAAGGAAAAATTAACCAGAGATGTGGAATCGACGTTTGCGTGGGAGAAGTCGTAATGCATTCGGCGTCATTATACCGCCATTACATGGTTCAATTTGTAACAGTGTAAAAACAAAATGAAAATCATCGGGAATAGGGGCGAGGAGAGGGCACGGTGTGCCGTCGCGCTATTGGTCGCCGTTAGGGGTGCCTGAACACTTCGTGGGTGGTTGGGAGCGACTATATAAAGCGTTTCACGGATCATGGTACATCGCAGTTGCTTTCACGTGTTGCTTCATCCGCGGTCATCTCGACAATATTTCCCTTTCTCGAAAACGTGCCCGAAAAAATCCTAGAAATCCTACCGTTTTCTCCTCCCCGCCCCCTCCCTTTCTCCAACCCCTCCTCGTTCTCCACTCTCGTCGGCGAACGAGCCTCCTCGCGTTCCTCCCGTCTTCAACTTCCGTCTTCTCTTCCGACGAAACACGTGCGCAATTTCTCGGTTTTCGAGAATTGACCGATCGAGAGTAGTTTCTCGAGAGCGTTTCTTCTTCCTTTTCTCCGCGGCGATCGTCGGTTACGGTTATACCCGGGAAGGAATGATGAGGAAATAGCCGAAGGAGGAGGGATCGATCACTAGAAAGAGAAAAGAAAGATAAATAAATAATCTTTCACGTTTCTAGAAAATCGTGAAACATATTATATTATATTTGGAAAGCTGGGTGAAAACTCGAAGGAGGTAAATTGAAAAAAAGAAAAAATCGATCCTTTTTATTCGATATAACAAATAAAGCTGTCTCGTTAACTGGCTGGAAACTCGATTGTTCGATGAATATGGGAAAGAAAAAAAATTGAAGATCGAAAAGAAGAGGAGGGGTGGGGAGAAATATTGGGAGTTATATATTGTTTTTACAGGCAGGAAACATGCATTCCCGGGGTAGGAAGATGCAACTGGTACCGTGTTTCGGTGGCGTAGAGATCGTGCTGTGTTTGTGGATCACGAGTGCTGTTTTAACACTGGTCGCGTCCCAGCAAAAGTTCTACATCCAGGGCCGGTATGGAAAACGGCAAGAGCCGCGTACAGGTGAGCGAAAATTAACATATACACGTATATTAAAAACGATCCTAGAAATCCACTATATCGTATCGTATCGTCGTTAATTTTTTTATTATTTCACGAATATCGATAGTTATCGATGGTTAATTCGATTCGATCGTTTGATTAATTAACGAATGTTCCAACTATTCCGATATTCCGTCTGATAATTATAAACCGCTCGTTGATCAACTCGTATCCTATTTGATACGATACCGCGGTTCACCCATCATTCGCGTTCGTTAAAAGCGCCAAAGCTTTAATTTTCCAGCTATTTTTATAGCTTTTCCTCGTTCCACGCGTTCGATTCTCTGATCAGAAACCGTTGTTCCGAGGTCGAACAAAGGTTCCCTTCAATCATCCGTTTCCGATTTCCAGTCCAGCCTTCAATTATCCGGTCTTTTCGCGTTTCGAAAATTTGAAATTTTACTCCAATATGGATTATAGATTTCCTCTCTCTCTCTCTTTCTCTCTCTTCGTATCTTCTTTCTCCTTGCATAGCGCGCGATCCGTGACAATTGATCGCAATCGAGTTCTTTTTCTTTTTCTTTCTTTTCGATTTCAATTACAGAAATCTCTCGTTTCGATCCTCCTTGATCCAACGGACAATTCGTTCGATTTTATCGCAACGATAAATCAAGGAAGGAAATATTGTTCGTGTTAATAATAATTGATATTTTTTCCAAGAATAAAACTCTTTCAGTACCTTTACGATAATTAGTTATAATTCTTCGAGCGAGTGAACGACAAAAGGAAATTGTACCATGTAAAAAATTTTATGGCAAATTAAACTCGAAAGGATGGGAGTTTCTTAAACGCGGATCCAATTTAACTATCATTAACAGTCGTTGGTTTTAATATAACTTGTTTCAATTTCTCGGATAAGTATGTAAATTAAATGAAGCTTGCGTTATTTACTCGTTGGAAAAAATATATCGAAATATCGTCGTGGACATCGACGATTGTTTAATTAACAAAATTATATACAAATGTACAGATGTATTGATATAGAATAACAGAATAGATGGGACGATCTCTATTATATTTAATCAATATATATTAAAGATTAAATTCATAATTTCCTTTTATTTTTTTTAAAAGTCGCAACTTTAATAATGGCTTCGCATCTCGTTTGACACGTCCCACTCGTCCATTGTAACAAGAAAATTAGACTTTTAAATATGCAGGACATTTTTGTCCAGGGGATGATACGTTTAACGTAACATAATCACGAGTTCACGAGTTCGAAAAATTGTAAGAAAACTATATTCTATCTATAAAAAGTGGCTGGAAAGATCGAAATTTAACCAACCTTTCTTCGATCGTTGTTTTCTTCTTTTTTTTTTCAATTCGTTACTCCAGAAATAACGAAGAAACTGATCTCCTTCATCCCTCGAGGATTCGTCTGCAATTATATAACGTCTTAATTGCAGATTCGTTCTACGTGTCGGGAGGGAGGTACGGACGAAGCGAGAACGGAATGGAGAAGGCGAGCAAATCGCAATTGGCAAAGTTGGTGGAGGTGGAGGTGCCGAGGATAGATCGATTCGTTTGGGGTGGCCGATACGGGAAACGATCGCCCCCCGATTATCATCGGCCTGTCTCGTCCGTCAATCGTTTCAGCGCTGTCCTCGACTTCATGGATCGGGTCGATCTCGATCGAGAGAACGATCTCAGTAATCGAAACGAGCTCGATCTTCTCCCTTAATGAAATCAACCGTATACCACCGGTGAGGATCGATCATTTTTTAAAGAAAAAATTCTTCACTTCTGAAAGTGTGTTTTTCTTCTTCTTTTTTTTTTTTTTTTTTTTTTCTTCGTTTCTACGCGAATAAACGCGTAGCGCGAAAGATCGTTTCGAAGGCTCGGCTTCGATCAATTATTAATATAAGATCGATACGAGACGTGCAGATGTGCCAGGCGTTGAAATCACCCAAGAGGGATGTGCTCGTTAGCGCGTTGAATGAATTTTGAAGCGTGGATAAAATAATAATCGTGGAGCGTAAAAAAAAAAAAAAAAAAAAAAAGTGTTTAACTTTGTTGGAATTATTAACGAGTACGGGATCGCACTTTTGTCGTTGAAGTTTGTTTTTCGTGATCCATTGCGACGAAGAGGAAGTTTTGAAACGAAGCTTTTTTCCCGGTTCGTGGAACAAATTTTAGTTTTTCCAGTATCGTTTGAAATTTATAATTTTTTTAAATGCGTTTGAGTTTTTTCAGAGTAAAAAAAGAAAAAAAAAAAAACAAAAGAAGAAAAAAAAAAAAAGGAAGAACAACGAAAATTTACAAATTTCAACGTTCAAGCTTCTAATTTCACCGTGATGCTGTTAGAACGAGTTTAATTTTGCAAAATCGAGGATGGCATTTATTTTGTTATTTTGTTAAATTCCCTTTGTCAAAGTTGCAAAGCATCACCCAAAGCAGTTTCAAATGCAAAGAGATCTCGTTACAAAAGCGGGATAATTCCTTTTTTTTTTCTTCCCCCCCTCCCCCATGGAACAACCATTAGTAGTTTCACTTCCTCTTTTCTATTTTTTGCAGACACCTTGGGAGGACTCGTTGGCTCTTTTTCGTGCAAACGAAAAAAAGAAAAAGAAAGAAAAAAAAAAAAAAAAACTCGAGGGAAGAAAGGAGATGCACGAGGAACGAGTGGAATTTTTTAAACAAGTCCTCCGCATAATCACCATTGTTTTTATCCGACTTAAACAGAGTGTAAAGTATCGCGAAAATCGGTCAAACGAGCAAAGAAACAAAATATAAGCTTCAGTTTACGCATCGTAGAACACCCTGTGTTCTTTCTATTTCTCATTCGCATCCACCAAAAAAACCCCATCCCTTTGATTCCTTGATTCTTCGCGTTACTTAATTTTGCCCCGATTTTTACTTACTTTACCAAAAAGGTTGGAAAAACTACCGAATTTGCGCGCGAAACTTCGAAATCGAAATCGAAATTCTTCTCCAACTTAATCTTAAATTTTTCTTAATATTTTTCCCACGCATCAATTCAGAGACCTATCTCTTGGATGCAAAGTAAAATACTATGATACTTGTCCCTTGTCTTTCGACATCGTCTAATTATTCTTTCAAAAGTTTGTCGGGAGTTATTAGGTCACCCCTTCGGGAAATTCCTTGCAGGAATTTTTCCCTTTCTCCCCTTTTTATCAACGCCCCCACGATCCCCTTCCCCTCCGTCTTTTATTCAATTCTTTATTCTTTATTCAACATTTGGAACGGATTCGTTTTAAAAAGATTTTTCCCGCTCCTCCACCTTTAATCCCTCCACCCTTTTCTCTTTGCACCATCTATTAATATCGAGTTTCAATCGTTTCCCCATTTTCGTTCTCCTCTTTAAACGCCCAGTTTTTTTCCCCACTTACCTTTTTTTTTTTTTCTTTTTTTTCTTTTTTGCCCGCACCGAAACAAGCGCAACAAGTTCTCATCGAGAGAGGCGAGTCTAGATTCGATTATTTTATTTGTTTTGTTTTTTTTTCTTTTTTTCCCCCTTTCCTTCTTTCTTTCTTTCTTTTTTTTTTTTATTTTTTTTTTTTTATTTTATTTTCCAAACGATCGGCGAGAGTAGGCGGTCGAAATATCGGCCACGTGACGATAACAGTACCGTTTTATTTCTCGGTCAAGTGTTCCAACGATTTGGTATCGATCAATACGCGATAATTAAACTGCTTGGATAGGAAAATGGGGAAACACGATCGTTTATGGCTCTTTCCAACGACACTCGTTCCATTTACCGCGTGAAGATTTTTCTTTCTTTCTTTCTTTCTTTCTCTCTTTTTTTTTTTCTTTTCACTTTCCAACAAACGTCGAATACATTAAGGATTAAATCCTTAGGAGAGAAAGAGCTTTTAGCCGCCGTTAGATGGGATTTACCAAACGGATATATCCCGACCCGTATCCTGTTTCAATCCAATCCGGATCTTATTTTCCTAGATTTCATTTTAAATCCAATATTCCCTTCGTGTATTCTTAATGGCACTCGCGAGACTGGGTTGAGACGCTGGCCAAGAGTGGAATAATTCGATATATACGAAGCGAGATCGAGCGAGTCGAATACCGATGCGCCAATTAGAAATATCGACGCGTTCCATTCACTTTCGCCCCGATGAAAATGAAGAGGACCCCGCCGATTCGAAAGCAACGAAAGTAAGATTCTCTTTTCTGTTCGGAGGAGATGCATGGAACTCGTTCACCAGGGTGATCGAACCGAACTTCGCCTTTCGACTCGGATTAATCGAATTTATCTTCGCGTCTGTCTGTCGAGACAATGCCTGCTCGATATCGATTAGAAAGTGGATAATATTCACGACACGACGGATATGTGTGCGTGTGAGATACGCTCGGCGGAAAGATACTCGTATCTCGTCTTTCCATTTCGTGTTTGCGATCGTAAAATCGTAAGGAAATCGTGATGATCGGTCTCTCGATTAATAAGTTGTCTCTCGAATAAATTAAATACAACGGTGACAGAATAACAAACACACGGTAAACGAAATGGATTTATTTCGTACCATTTGTTCCCTCGATCAATCTTATTTACGTTAAATCGATTTACCAGTTTAACTTTCACCACTTTGCGTTTCCAAGTTTGTTATCAATTTTTTTTTTTTTTTTTTTAGTGCGAGGTATTTATTAGCGCACAGTTTCTCTCCGAGCTATCTTCTTAGCTTTCAACAAAATCTCTCCACCAGCCATTGCGTAATTTTAAATTCTCCGATTCTTTGGATTCTTGGATTCTCGCGTTTCTCACGAATCCGTATTCGATTCCGTATTCTCAGAAACGGAACGATATCGCGAATCAAAACGAAGAAGATTTCGAACGAGAAGATAGATCCAAGATCCGAGAATCGAGGACGATAGAAGATGAGCTGAGAAGAGAGAGAGAGAGAGAGAGAGAGATTAGAAGAGATATCGAGAGGACAACGGTTGGCAGATTAAACGGCAAGGTCTTTAAACGATCGCTTAATCCTATTTGAGACCTACTTTTGAGCCGACCCGAAGGAGAAAGTAAGAGGGGCAGTGTAAGAGAGGAGGTGACGGTCGCGTGCTTGAGAAAGTAAAGTCTCGTTTACACGTAAGAGGCAAGTGTTGTGCGAGTGTTTTTTTTACGGGGACGGTACACACGTTACGCCGGAATAGAATCGCGATTACCACATTTTAATTTTCTCGAAATTTGTAGGTCGAGCAACGAGCCAACTTCCTTCCTCCCCTCCTTTTCTTCTCTCTTCTTCCTTTCTTTTTAATTTCAATCTCGAAAGCGGATTACACGTCGCGATAATATATAACACGACGGAATATCTCGTGCGTAATTGTTTCTTTCAACGACACCGATCGAGTTTCTTTCTTCCTTTTTCTTTTTTTCGACGAAAGAGAGAAGAGCGTAGGGTGAAAGGTGCATAAATTTTGCCATTTTCGGAATTACTTCGTATAGAAGAAACTGGATGATAGACAATTTGGAATGTCGTTGCGAATTTCAACCGATTCGTTATTTTACATAGATAGATTTTGATTTGACCATATTCCTGAGCGAATATGAATATATTTACGTGTAATGTTACACGTATGCGTGTGCGTAGCTGTAAAATAATATACAAAGAAATGAATAAAGAGGAGACGAAACAATTTTCGTGTGTACGTTCATTACGCTTTCCCTCCTTAATCCGAGCTCCACGTTGAACCGTTGCAACCTGAAAAAAAGAACGTAACTTTTCCGTTACTCTCTCTCTCTCTCTTTATTAAACCTATGTAAACAAACGTAACTTTCGATCGACGAAGCGGGCGAAGCTTTTTAGACAATCGACCCGTGATTAAATTCCGCGCGCGTTTGCAAATCGCAAATTGCAAATGCAAATCGAATATAATATATTACTGCAACGACGTATTAGTGACATCATTCCGTTCTTTCCGTGATGTCACCCCAAAACGTGACCATCACGATCACTTTCCCCTTCGAATTTCCAACCTCTATAAGTCTTAATGGAATTATACGTCAAAATTTGTAGCATTTGTTTGAATCGGTGTGTACCCCCAAACGTGTCACCCCAAAACGTGACCATCACGATCACTTTCCCCTTCGAATTTCCAACCTCTGACTCTCTCTCTCTCTCTCTCTCTCTCTGTAATTAAAGTTACAAGAATTATTTCTTACTTGGAAAACGATAGAATCGATGAAATAGATGGAACAAACGGCTCGTTAAAAGATCCGTTTGTTCAACGAGATGTTTCCCTCCTTTCTTTTTAGAATTATAAGTCTTAATGGAATTATACGTCAAAATTTGTAGCATTTGTTTGAATCGGTGTGTACAAATGATCGCATTTAGTGGCGCGATCGAACCGGTACAAGTTTTCACCCGGTACAAATGGACGATTTATCATTACGCGATAGAATTACGGTTACCGAACTGCAATTACATGGAGATTGTGCGATGATTCTGTTACACCTCTGCACAACAGCGTCAACGTTTCGTTAATATTCCTCCCTATATGCTATATATACAAATCACCGATTTTATGTGAAACCATCAACGAGCTCGTAGTTGAACCTTGCGTCGGAAAATTGAAATCAATTTTGCTGGTTTAATCTGTTCTACACGAGATATTCGTCACGATTTGGAAAAATGATATTCGATATATATATATATATTTTTTGTTGTTTGCAAGAGATTTATAAACGTTTGTCCGTGGGATGGAAACATTAGACTTTCCAGTT